ACACACTCATCCCCCTCCAGGCACATCTGTGTGTACACCAACTAGGAAGCTCACCTGAATTTATTGGGGTCTCTCATATTATGTTTGCATGAAGGACTGAATCAGTGCCCATGTGACTGAACTCAATCTGCTGCCCCCTTCCCACCCCTCCCTGGAGGTGGCAACAACTCTAATCTCAAATTCCTGGCATAAAGGCCCCCACTGAGTCCACTCTTTAGCATGAATTCAGGTGTGGTCCAAGAGGCCCACCATGAAAAAGAGCCATTTCTATCTCTTGAAAAATTCTAAAGGTTCAGAGGCTCCTTCTTAAGAACAGGGGACAAAGACCAGTCAAATCTTTATTATAGCCCTGCCAGAGCTATGGTTTTGTGTCCCCAGTGCCACTCACGGGGCAGAGCACACAACCATAGAATTAAAATAAACATACTGCTTGGCCAGGAGTGGCTCAGCGGTTGAGCATCGACCTAGGATCCAGGAGATCCCGGTTCGATTCCCAGTCAGGGCACATGCCTGGGCTGTGGGCTCAATCCCCAGTCAGGGTCATGCAGGAGGCAGCCAATCAATGACAACTCTCTCATCATTGATGTTTCTCTCTCCCCTCCCTCCCTTCCTCTCTCTGAAATCAATAAAAAGATATAAATAAATAAATAAATAAATAAATAAATAAATAAATAAATAAATAAATACTGCTATTTCCTTACATAGCCCCCTGAAAATGCTTTTACACATACAATCTCATTTGCTCCTCAGAGCTTAAATATCAAAAGTATTAATTCTGGCCTGAAAGTTCTGGCCATAAATACCACTAGTCTTACCTGGATGACTGTGGGCATACGATACCCGCACCAGACATCATCTTTCCGTATCAGTTTCCACATTTGTAAAATGGAAATAATGCTAATTCCTACTTAGAGGATTGTTGTGAGAACTAATTGAGTTTAATAATATAAAGTACCCAGAAAAGTGCCTGGCACATAAAACGCACACAATATTAGTAAACGATTCACAGACTCAAATAAACTCAATAATCCAGTAAGTAGAATATGATAATGAAAACATAAACCCAAGGTCAATGAAGCTGCACAGCCTATCTCAGGTCCCCCAGCTAATAACTGACCCCAGGCCAGTGTTCTATGTGGCCCTAGCACACATATTTGTCCCACGGGAGAAAAAATTCTTATGAGGTATTCTGGTAAAATCCAAGCACATTTCCCATTCACTTAAACAGCTGTTTCAAAAATAAGTTCTTCATTTCTAATTACTGATCTTAAATTTTCTGTGTTAAATCCTTCATTGAGGAATGAATCACCTGTGTGGCAAGTGCTCAGAAATACCAGGGTTCAGGTATAAAGGACCAAATGCCCTGCATGGGGACTCTTTAGGGATAAACACATCCGGACATGGCTCAGGTGGGCAAGCACAGGAAGCCACACTGCCAGGATAGGCCAGTCAGGAATCTGACATCAGGAGGGATAAATAGGCAAGCCCCAAGCATGGGGCCTGCAGATCACAGGTGTTGACAGGGAGTACACGGTTGATGTTTTGTTTGGAAAAACCTTAAAGAATGGCTTGAACCAAATCGTGATCAAACCATGCTGTCTTAGTCTATCTGGGCTGTTATGACAAAATTCCACAGACACGTGGCTTGTAAACAACAAAGTTATTGCTCATAGTTCTGGAGGCCGGAAGTCCAAGATCATGGTGTCAGGTGTGGGTCTCTTCCTGGTCACAGATATCTCCATAGAGTAGTTACAGACCAGCAGATGGTGGTCAGCCTACAGCCTAACAGGCTCTACTGAAGAGGCACTGGAAGTCAAACCTATCTGCACCAGCAGCATGTGTAATCTCCAAACTACATGAGAAACACCACCACGATTTGAGGACCAATGACACTAAGACATTAAAGGGTGAGGTTAAAGAGAAGACCAGAGTGTGTCATGAGCTCCATTCTGTCATGACCAGTAGGGCTAGAGGTTTACTGGCAGGTCAACAAAAGGTCAAGAATCCCATCATCACGAGGCTCACTGGGAGACCAAACACTCTGGCTACATTCAGGCAGGAACCCTCATTTGCCTCTTTGCAAAAGACAAACCATCCTTCGAAGAGGCACTGCCAGACCTAAAGTGACCTGTGCCTAGCACCACTGACTCAGGATACCAACTGCATCCTAGATTCGCTGTTTACACATGGGAATTCCCCAGGAGAGGTCTCCCCCTCGGAGAAACCAAAGGGTTTAGCACTTCTCAACCAGGATTAACTCCTACTTTTCAGCAAGAGGTTAAGACTTTCAAAGACCTGAATGGCGCTGTCTGACAAACTTGCACAACCCATGCTAATACCAGGTGGCTTAGAGCCAGGAGAATCATAAATTAAATCCTCTACTTTGCACAATGTGTCATCTAGAGCTACTTTTAAATTGTATTTGACAGCCTCTCAGATTATTTACCCCAATGCACAACTGCTGGCTCATTAATCTCTCCGGTTCCCTAGGCAAGCTCTTTGTGAAAGCAGTGAATAGCTGCCCCCACCCCTGCCCCCCAGGCGTCCATCATCACAGCTTCTCATTCCAGAGCCCAGTGAAGCACAGGGCATTCTGTTCAGAACCGCTCAATAGCCCAGCACCCCACAGACTTTGGCTGGCTTCCAGTTCTAGGCAGCAGGCTCCTTTTCTTTGTTTGGAGAATTTTCATTAAATGAAAAACTTGCAAATGCAAAGTAGTGTGAGACACAGAAGTACAAGCAGGCATCCCCAAGTCCCATTCCCAGGCATAGCTCAGGATACATTTGTTTTTTTCCAGCTTTACTTAAGTGTAGTTGACAAAAAATTAAATAAACTCAAGGTGTATAAACTGATGTTTTGATATATATATTGTGACATAATCACCACAATCAAGTTAACATATCTATCATCTCACATAGGTGAGAACATTTAGCAAATGTCAACATACAGTACAGCACTGTTGACTCTAGTCACCATGCTTTTACATCAGAATTTATTCATCCTGCCTAAGTGAAAATTTGGACACCTTGACCAACACCTCCCCAGTCCCCAAAACCCAGTCCCTGGCAGCTACCCTTCTACTCTCTGCCTCTATGAGTTTGACTATTTGGACTCCACACAGACCTGACATCATGCAGCATGTCTTTCTGCATCTGGCTTATTTCACTTAGCAAAATGTACCCGAGGATACACACGTTTTAACCACCGCCTTTAAAACAGGCAATAATAAGTATCTACTATCAATTTTAAAGCCAAAAACAAATGTATTGCTCAAGTCCATTCATGGCTCCATTTCTCCTCAGTGATTATTCACAGGTGTGAGGAAAGTGCAATTTCAAATCCCAACTTTCACCTCAAAGGCTGGAACTGGAAGATCTGTCACAGACAGTACCATGTTCTCACTAAATTCTGGTAAAACAAAAACACATCCTTTTAAAAATGTTCTTTACCAATCAGACTGCTAAGAAAGTACAACTAACGCACAGCTACCTACACCTTCCTTTCACTTCAACTGCTGTTGAATTTAATTCAACAGGCAAAAGCTGAGCCAAAAAGAGCTCTCTTGGTTTATGACCATGAGGATGCTAAATCATGTTTCCTACGGCCTCAAATCTTTTAGCAGGCACATGGCCAGGCACCAGCTGAGGGCACCAGGCACATTCCCTGATTTGGAGCTCACTCCCGACCTCTTGAGGCCACAGCACCATCTCACACAGGGCATACTGCATGGCTTTCTCTGGGACTGGCGCTGGGCAGGTCATCCAGGGCCCTGTGGAAGTCAGGACGATCTCAGGGGGCAGTCTCCAAGATGTGTCCAGCCAAGAGCAACACCCTGGGAGTGTCAAAGACTGCCGAGCAGAGAGAACACACAGAACATGGGGCTGACATGCTGTTCTACATCTTTACTTCCCCTGGTTCTAGTTGGTATTTATTTCTATTTCAACTATTTGAGGACAAGAAATTTTCATCCTTTTAAATTTCATCTTTTCAGATTAAGGCAGGCATGAAATAAATTTTCTATAATAAATAGCATAAATGAAAAAATGAACATATACACACATATATATACACACACATACACACACACGCATATGAGGGTAACTAGGATCTCATGCCCACTCTGCAACATCAGGCGCCTGGCCAGACTATAGGTATGAGCAGATTTTATCTGAAAAGAAGAGCGGGGAACAGAACAGAGGTCAAAACCACAAACCAACTGGCCCATGGGGTCAGAAGCCCTCAGTTTTCTAGCCCAATAAGAACATCAAAAACATTGGAAAAGCATCAGGTGATAAAAACAGACTAACAGAGCTTTCAAGAGGAGCCAGCTGACAACACAAAGCTAGAACCAACAGGTACCCTTTGTGTATTTATCTAAATGTCTAACTTACAGCAAAAATAGCTGGTAGAATAACTCTCAGAAATATCTTCTCCTACTTGTCATCTGTGACAGTGACTTCGACTGTCCCTGTCATATTGTGTACTTTGCCTAACCAGGTGCTGTGCAAAGCACGTTAGAAAATGTGACTCTCAATAACTCCTGGGAGGCTGAGCAAGCTGCCAGGGTCCCCAGCAGACAGGAATCGTACTGGAAGGTGAACTCAACCCTGACACCAAACCCTGCCCACTGCTCAGTCTGGATGCTGGGACTTCCCAACACCTCCAGTGTAAAACGTATAAACGTCAGGGTGATGCCCATATAACATCTGAGCGATTCCACAGTGACTTCATGCTACAGTATGAAAAAGCCAGTGCCCCCAAAGTAAAAGAGATTCCTTTAGTCTGGTTTTTATTTTTAAATAAAACATAGGCATTACCATCTTTATACCTAGTTCCTCCTCTATCCCCCAAACTAAGTTTTATCCATCTTAATTATTCCATGACAAGGCACACAGAACACTAAACAATAGAAATTCAAGAAAAATGTTTCTGTCCCAACTCCCAAGATCTAAGCGTCCAGTCTATCAGCAGAGGTTTGTTTAGTAATTCTACACATTACCTTGACATTTTCGAGAAGAGCATCATCTCTACCTAAGCCAGGTCCTACAACCAGGGCATGCAGTCGGGGCAACCACTTTCCCACTTCCTGAACGGCATCAGAGCTGTCACTAAGTTAAGGAAAAGAAGGGCAGAATGGTTTACTTAAGATTTCATTTATTTGCTTATTAATGAAACTACAGATTTTTCCAGTTTCCCCCAATGTCTTTGTCTTGTTCCAGGATCCAAGCAGGACCCCACCATGCACTTATGGGCTCGCTGTGCCACGCCACTGTCCATGATCACCGTTAAAAACTGCACACACTGCACATGCACCATATGCACAGCCGGCACCATGCCCCCTTTCCTGCTCCCATCTCCCCATGGTGCTTATCACCCTGACACACTATTATCTTGTTTGTCCATCTCCAGAGCTATGTTGTCTAATATAGTAGATACTAGCCACACATGGCTTTTAAATTTAAAATTAAAGTAAAAACAGTTCCTGAGTCCTACTAGCCACATTTTAAGTGTTCAGTAGCCATATGTGGTCAGCAGCCACAGTGCTGGACAGCACCAACGGAGATTATTTTCACCCTCAAAGGAAGTTCTAGGGAACGAGAGCAGGAGCTTTTGTCTGCTCAGTTTGATGCTGTTCCCATGGAACCCAGGACAGGGCCTACAGGGAAGATCTGCTGACTGAACAGTTTTGTTATTGCCTGATAGGCCCCTCATTACTGCCATACGTGAACTGTCACAGGCAGGCCCACAGACTCCCCTGGGTCTAGGAACCTCCAACCATTTCAGAGGCCACAGGGGTTAGCCCTGGGCATGCTATCCTGGTGTTCAGATCTTATCCCATGCTGTCACACGGACTGTATGTCTGTCTTCTTCTGACCACAGACAATGAGCTCAGTTCAGTTTTCACCTTTCTTCTAAAACAATCTACCCACCAACTCTCAAAAGCTACTTAACTGAGGCTCTTTGAGAGTCAGTGTAAAAACACCACAGGACCAAGGAGAGTTGAGTTGTTGCAAGTAAAGGACCCCATGTGCTGCCCCACTCACAGAACGGGGTGAACAATCAGCTCCGGGCTATACGACTTGATTACAGGTGCGGCCTCCCGGGTACAGAACACATGGGATAAATCTGCACCCTGAGAAATGAGTACAAGAGGTTAACTTAATGTGGGACTCACTCAAAAGACAACCAAAGTGGTTTCAGCAAGAGCCACTCACCACAGGACACAAGGAGTTTAATCATTCAAATTACACAGCACTATCCGTAAAAGAAAAAACATGTATCCAACTGCAGCAGTTAAACTATAGAGAGGAGGCTGAGGAGAAGGTATAACCTAAGAAAAGGCCTGGAAATAAAAGCAGACTTTTGCTGCTACTGAAGAGGTAGGTCAACCCAGATCAGCTCAGGCTGCCTCACCTAGAAGCTCATAGGAAGCAATGCAGCCATGGAGCTGAGCACATTTCACAGTAACTGTGCCAACTGGGTGGTTAGGACTTGACCAAAAGGCATGAGCAACTAACTGCTAAAGTCAAAAGATGTCAACTGCTTAAGCTAGGACTGAAAGGTATCCCAGGATCATAATAAAACTCTAATAAAGTTTTATTAAAAAAAAAAAAAGTTTCCAGTTATTTTATCACTGCACAAGAGGTTAGGATACATTAAAAAGGTTTCTCTTACCCATAATGACCTGAAGATGTTATTTAGATTTCTATTGAAAATATTTGTTTAATCATATTTAAATAATCCAACTCTTCCTAAAAAAGATACAAGTAAACATACCACTTTGAGAGCTGAGATTGCTGCAAAATAAGGGGCTCCGGTGTACCTAAAAAGAAGATATTTACAGTCAAAAACTTCTGAGGATGAGGCAAGCACACTAGGTTTATAAACAAACTATACAGACATCACGCCTCTAGCTCAGGGCCCAACTCCTAGTAGATGCTCAGTAAATGTTCAATAAACATGGGTCAGAACCAGAAAACTCAGTATTTCACCTGAGACCTTTGTACAATGTCAGGAGAGGTAAATTCTGGCTTTCTGTGATTGCGGTCTCCCTGTAATGGGTATGTTCAAACTGAAGGCTTGAGGTGATGGTTTTAGGGTTTCATATATGTTAAACTTATCAAATTGTACATCAATTAGACCTCAATAAAGCTGTTAAAGAATTAATCTCCTAATATAAAATAGTTTGGCAAGGTTTTATACCATGAATAATAGATAATATCTACAGTATCAGCAAAACCCATAAACCATCTAGGAATTAACATTATAAAACACATAATAATTCTGTGAGGATACCTTTTTTTTAAAAATATATCTTTACTGATTTCAGAGAGAGGAAAGGAGAAGGGGGGGAGAGAGAGAGAAAGAGAAACATCAATGATGAGAGAGTCATTGATTGGCTACCTCCTGCACACCTCCGACTGGGGATCGAGCCTGCAACCGGGGCATGTGCCCTACCGGGGAATCAAACCCCGATTGCCTAGATCCTAGGTCAATGCTGAAACGCTGAGCCATGCCCAGTCGGGCATGTGAGGATACTTTTTAAACCTATTAAAGAATATACTAGATGTATGAGAGCTGAGATGACTTAATATAATGATGATACTTCTCTCTGGATTAACATAAAAATAGATATAGATTTAACATAGATATAAAAAGTACCTGATTTATCAGAAATGCACACAGCTGCAAGTAAAAGAAAAAGCAACAGCATCTGAACAAAACTGGGGCTTTGTTAGCAAGGAAGATAGGTAGGAATGTTATGCTGGGGGGGAAAAAAACCCTGAAGGTTTAAGATGGTGAGAGTTTATTGAAGGTGTCTGCCAGGAAAGAGTGTGCTTGAGGTGATCACAGGCCAGAGCATCCCACACTGGACAGTACCCGAGGAGCAGGACCAGTCTCCAAGAGCAACAGTAAAACAAGCAATGGTCATCTTGATGTAGGGCCACACGTGGGGACCCAGGTCACACAAGAAGAGACTCTCTGGCTTCCGTCCTATTGTTCTGGAATGCTTGTAACTCCACTTTTAAGGTCACTTCAAGCACAGAAAGAAAAACCCTTGAACTGAGCATCAGATGATGACTGTAACTTTTATGTCAGTTCCAAGCTATGAAAAGTTTTGCTCTCCCAGGAAAAATAAAATGGGGAAAATGCAGAGTACACTCTAAATATGCGATACTTTCCTGCAGAGCAGGGCCAATGTGCCAGAAACGCCAAAAGACAGGACATACCACACACACACACGTACCCCACAACATGAACACAAGCCCCACTATCAAAAGAAATACACTGAAACAACAAAAAATAGCCTGCCTACTAGAGAGCAAAGGCTGCCAATACCCACAGGGTGTAAGGGGAACAGGTGCTTGTTGGTGGCAGCATACACTCATGCAATTTTGAAGGAAGAACAATTTGCAATGCTTATCAACATTTAAAATGTCTATGTACTCTGCTCTAGTAAAAATTCTAGGAAATGATCCCTCGATTATAACCAGATGGGTACACAAGGAGATATATGTAAAGGGATGTCTACAGACATATTGTTAATTAGAAAAAAGAATAGAGTTAACCAACTGCCTATCAATAGGGACTTGGTTAAATAATGGCCCATCTGTACAACGAATACCATATATTCACTTACCCACTTATAAAAAATCAGTCTATATGAATCAACATGGAAACACAAAGTAAAATAAAGAGTAAACATAACCCAAAAAAGGCACATCAGGTAGACTTATATGTTAACAGGTTTATTTCCCGTATTAAAAATAGTCATACTGGGTAAAGAAATAAAATCTAGTTTCATATTCTTTAAAATAAGTATACCCAACTAGATAATAAACCATTAAATATATAAGGCTAGGCAGAGCACACAGAATGTAAGCAGAAACAGAAATACTAACCAAGATCAAATTTAAGTCAAAGGCAGTAGGTATCATTTATAAGCATAGACAAATTATAAATCATTGTGTGTCAAACAACATAGCACCAGAATATATGAAACTAGAAGAGAGAACAGGCCTTAAAAAAACCTAGGATCTGTCCAATTTCATAAATACCTTTCAGGAATATCTTTAAATTAATGAAGTAAACCAAGCAGATGCAGAGTGTCTTTATCCTGATTACAAAAGTAATACATGCTTATGGTATAAGTGTGACCAATAGAGAAAAGTATAAGATAAGAAAAAACAGTCTCCTCTCCCAACCAAAGGCAAAATCTTTAGCCTAACACACACCAGTGAACAGTTCTATCTGGGCCCCTTAGAGTTTTGTGTCATACTATCAGACTAAGTTTGGAAATAGTTACTGGGGATCTACCTACACAGATGGAAAACTGAATGGATGGCTGATAAGTAGGTAGACAGATAACAGAGATTAACCATTTAAATACTAACATTTTCCAAGTCACTTACTCTTGACAGCCTCCAACTATGCCTATTCTTCCATCTTGCCCTTTGTGCTTCTTAGAAGTTAAAGGAGGTATAATATTTTTCACCAACTGAAAGGTATCTTCCATATTTTTTATCGAATGTGCTTTCTGCAGTGAAAATGCTCTTTTTAAAACTGAAAAACAGGAAAATGAAATTCCTCAGGACAGTAAATATATGGTATATATAAAGAACAGAGAGTTAAACAAAATGGCCCATTAACCAAAATACTTCCCGAAGTTGATTCAATATGAACGCTACAGATTTTTACCCAATGGTTTCATTATTTTATTTCTGTAAGCAAATGGTGTTCAGAAATTACAACACTAACACATTGTATATATCATTTATTTTTTAAATGTACCAGACATTTTGAAGTCTACTTAGTCTCAGAAAGTTTTTTTAATGCATAATTAATTAGTAGACTACACAGTTCATTTCAATCTTCCTTTAAGTTTATTACGTCTTCTGTCAAACTGGAAAAGCAATCTCCCATTTGTTACCTTCCACTGACATTAATATTATTCCCCATTTAATTTCCCAGTCATCTTTCTAACACTGAATTAGATACTAATTAAATAACCTAGGAATGGCATTCTAAATATAAAACATATCACTGGGTTCAAAGGCATTTTGAATTGTCTCTAAATAGCTCATTTTAATTGGCCTTTCTTAAAAACAAGGAACTCGATATTTTTATCCTTCCAGTTATCTCAGCAGCTGAGAAAAACTGGACATGGATCATAAGTTCAACTGAAGATGTTCCACAAGGACAAACAGCTTGAATAACACCCTTAGAGTTTTACTTTTTATTCAACAAAATTATTCAAGTGATTTTCTTTAATGAGTAGATGTAAATGACTCCTTAACTGACATCAAATGTTTAGACCCTGAGATGTAAAGAGAATATTAATTACTGTCAACCCTAAACACCTTTCACCTTCCAAACCAACAAGGGATTAAAACTCAAAAAGAATCACTGTAAACCTTTGGCCAAGAAAAGGCACAACTAGGCTCAGGCAAGGATCAATCCTCTGCTGCCAAAGTCTTTCCTCATCAGCCACATTCTGCTCCAGTGAGATGTCCACAGTACTGCTTCCCACCCTGACTCAGAGCCAGTTGGCAGAGGCACTCACTTAACAGAGCAACTCCACTTTCACTTCCCTCACTCTCCGAACTTTTCACCTTCCCAAATACCCATCCACACTCGGAATTCCCAGACTACACAGTCTTTGCCATGCACAGTTACTGTGAAATGCTCTTTCCTGGCACTCCCTGATGAGCTGCATGAAAGCAACTAGAGCTGTTATAATCAGATTTAATGTCAGCATCACTGACTGCTGGTGAACAATCTATGCAATCATGAAAATGCCAGGCATCTGTTTCAAATTTGAACAATGGAGCTTAACAATATGACTGGTTAATATAACAATACTAGAGAATTGTCGTTCCTTTAAATTCCCCAAAACAATAAATACAGCTGCTTTAAAAAAAAAAAAAGTCTACAAATTGTAAAGATAGAATCCAAACCAGTCACTCAAGTGTTGTTCTGGGTTTCCTATGTTCATAGACACCACCATTTTATACTAAGCATTTAGCCCCACACAAAACATCCCTAAGACCACTCTATCATCTTTTGCCTACAGAGAATGTGGCACAGCTCCTACCCGTGGCTTAAAGGGTCTACGTGTTTCCATGTTGGACTCCCACCCTCAATTGCCTCAAACAGAGTCTGGCACAGAATAAGACACTCAATAAATGTCCACTGAATTAAAGGCATCTTGACTCACTCGCCTCATTAGTAGTAAGGGTAGCCTTCTTTCACAAATAAGGAAAGTGAGGCCCAGGGAGACAGACCTGTGAAGATGCTTCTGTTAGTAATGGATAACCTTGGGCAGAAGACAGCATTTTACAAAAATGCTGTCATTTTAAGGCAAAAGAAATCATTTTTCTTTAACCGAATATTCACCCCACCAACCAAAAGACAAGTAAAATCCTTCTCAAATGCTGTCTGAAACCATTTGGGGGCAGGGAGGCAGGGATCACTGTTGAGAAGTACAGCATTTTCACTTTTTAACTTAAACTGTATGAATACAAAGTAAAATCCACACTGTTCACTAGCATTCTGTCCCGTTCACCTGAGATGAGCACCTGTCAATGAAAGAGCCAAAAAAAAGGTCAACTAAATTTCCCTGAACTTCACAGTGAATCTCAGTTTTAGCTGGTTTACTGACATACACCGTTTGGAATTACCCACAGAAACACTTAAATATAAACATCAAAGTTCTGAAAGATAAAAAAAAGGCCTTGACAAGAGGTGACTTAAAATTTATCCTATTAAGTAACTTTGCTTTCACAACAATTCTGAGTCTGAAGAACAGGTAAAACCGGCCTGCTTTTTATTTGTTTGAAAGAAGTGTGGCTGAGGAAGTCTGGAGAATCACATAGATTTCTTAAACCTGGGCTGTTTTCTAGAATTACTTGCCACTTACAACCTGCTGTGATACTGATGTTTCTTTGTGTCAAACATGCTTTAAATGAACATGAACCATAACTAACCTGGAGCACATGACAGCAATGCTTAAGTTAACGGAGATACGTCTTAAAAGCTAGGATAGGAAGCCACGGAGCTACACCACCTGTTTTTAGGTAAAACTCAGCAAGTCAGTCTAATAATGAAACCTCAAATTCAAAAAGAAATCTTGCTAATTAATCACAGGGTGTGAATTTAAGACAGCTAAGAAAAAAAGTCTCAATAAACTGGTGCCCAGAAGCCCCTCTGCGGCTGGTGTGAGTGAGGTGCATTAGCTGAGGAACCCCTCAGTTCTTCTCAAAGCATTTGGACCTACGGTGCCTAAAAACAAAAAACCAAACTCAACAATTACTCTCACCACGTCCGGCCGGAAAGCTCCGCTGCCCTGAAAGCTCTCGCCTCCCCCGCCCCCAGCTCCTCCGCACCGAGGGCGCGGGCACCACTCGGCTCCTCGCCGCCCCCCGGCGCCTCGCGTCCGACTAGCAGCCCGCGGCCAGGTACCTGCGTCCAGCGGCGGCCCGTAGAGCGCTAGCGCGGCCGAGAGCAGCGTGACCACGGCTGCAC